GGCTGACATGTGCCTCAGGGATCTGGGATGCTCCTCCTGCAAACTGGGGCCAGAACTGTCACCTCTCTTCCCTGCTGATGCCGTGTTTGTGTCCCCAGCTATGGAATCTCACATCCCCTCACCAGCCCAATCCTTTCAAGGGCAAACACTTCATGATCCAGGAGCTGATGGGGCTCCAGGAGAGACGGAGAGGGACTTTAGACAAGGGCATGGAGTGACAGAACAAGGCGGAATGGCTTCCCACTGACAGAAGGTGGGTTCAGATTGGATATTGGGAAGAAATCCTTCCCTGTGAGGGTGCTGAGGCCCTGGCACAGGCTGCCTAGAGAGGTGGGGTCAGGTGAAAACAAAAACAAGATATCTGAAGTTGGGACCACATCCCAGTATCGTCCACGTGTCCATCCATGGAGTGACCATTGAATCCTCGTCTCCCATCTTACCCGCTAAAGGAGATGATCTGTGTGAGACAGATGTCACTGATGCGGCCATACACAGTGTGACACTGCTCATCTACCTCTGTGGGCTGGCTGGGAACGGGGCTGTGCTCTTCCTCCTCTGCATTGGCTTCACCACCAACTTCATCTTCAACCTGGCTGTCACTGTCTTCCTCTTCCTCCTCCTCATGCTCCCACCCACACTGCTCCTCCTTGTAGAGGATGTGGTCTGCTCTGCTATTGTGCCTCTGGGGTCCTTGAGCTTCCTTTTCCGGCTGTCACTCTCATGCTCCAGCCTGGGGCTGTACCATGTGCCGTTTATGAACATCTCAAGGGTTAGGCTCTGCAGCCTTCAGTTTCTTCTGCTGCTGCTCCTCTTTCTTTTCTGAGCGCCTGCCATGCATGGTGATGAGTGTCCTACAGTGGCCTTCTTTGGTGTCATTGCTCTCAATCCAGCAGTGGCTCCCCTGGGCCAGTTTCATGAAGAGCACTGCCATGGCCTCTCATCTCCATGTGCACCCTCCACCTCCTCCTCTTTGCTCCCTTCATGCTCATTTCCAGTGTATTCTTCTGCATTCAGGACTCATGTTGCTCAGACAAGGGCAAGCCCAAAAGGCTCCAAATTATTTTCTTCCTCTCTCTCCTCACCACCCTCCCCCTCAGCCTCTGGAATTTCCTGCAGCAGCTCAGCTACACCGTTCTGCCTTCCCAGTCTGGTTTCCTGCTTGCCCACATCAACAGCACCATCAAACCGGTCATCTAATGCCAGGCAGGTAGATGCTGGAAGAACTGCTCCATGAGGTCCTCAAGAAATCTCTCTGGAGGGTTTTGTGGTGCCACAAGAAAACACTGCCAGCAGCAATGATTCCACCAGGGAATGATTTCAGAGATTCCATGGCAGTCTGAGCCTGTTGATCCCTTCCCCTGCAATGATGAAGCACCCCAGGACATTGGCTGAAGGTTTCCTTGAGTCACTTAATTAATAAATATCCACAGGATCACCGTTCTACCTAAATTCCTGCGGGAGAAGGCAGCAGGAGCATTGCCAAGGGCCATGTGGGAGCCATGATCTGCAGGGAGCACATTGGAGCAAGGCTTTTCCTCCTCTCTTACACTTGCTAGAACACTTAAAACCCGCTTTCCTGAAAGGGATCCTTCCCAACACGGCTGTGACCCCAAATTTCCCCCTGGCACCTGGTTCCTGCATCCCACTGAGGTTTGATATCAATAAACAGCACCATGAACCCTGAGCTGCCTTTGCCCCCTCTGCCAGCGCTTCCCGGCTTCCTCTGGCTGCTGCTGCCAGCCGGGAATGTGCCTGGAGGGAGGGGACACAGCCATGGCTTCTGCTCCCTGCAGCAACCATGATCCCCAGAGCCAGAGCTGGGCTGGCACGGACACGATGGCCCAGGGGCTCAGCATTCCCCACCCCGAGGGCTCTGTGAGTGTCACAGCAGAGATGTCCCTGCTCTCGGGTGGAGCGGGGCTGGCGGGCAGGGGGGGAAGCGTCCCCGGGGGTCTGGGCGTGTGGGAGGGAGCAGGAGGCGCCAGGAAGGATCTGGATGGTGCTGATCCCAAATGTCCTG